GAGAGAGAGAGAGAGAGAGAGAGAGAAAGAGAAAGTAGAATGAGCACTACAAGAATATATCTTAAATAATTTTAGAACATAATTATATTCATACTGAATAATTGTCATGTACAAGTTTATCTAATGACTCAGTAGATCCTGAGGATCTCGATGTACCTAGCTACTAAATATAATGATAGTTCAACAGTAACATTGAATCATGGCTTTCCCTGAAGTACCCGATATATACGATCTACTGAGTTATCAAGCAAGCTTACTGTACTGTGACTGTAATAATGCTCTAATACTGCTCTGCTTGTCCTTACTTCTGATTTACTGCCAACATTAAATGGGAAGTTATCATGCAGTTAATATATCTTTCCTCTCTGTTGACGTTCAGGCTTGAAGGATCTCCGTCATTTACAGTGGCTTTCTCTCGCAAACAACAAACTTAAATCGTTACAAAATATTCAGTCGAGTTCATCATTGGTTCACCTTGATGTGTCCGATAACCAGATCGCCAACCTGATTGATCTCTCGTCGTTGAGCAAGCTGAAAACTTTACTGCTTAATCGCAATTCAGTATCGAGCCTCGAACGGGCTTCGCTTTATTTGCCTGCTGCTATTTCGGTCCTTGGGATTGCTGAAAACAAAATTGCTGACCTTACAATGGTAAGTACACTAGGCGGCTACATGGATTTACAATATTATGTCCGATTAATATTAACACACAGCTGTAGCGACAGCTGTGAATTTGCATAAGTCTTATGCAATCAGAATTGAGGAGATTGTGTAGTTGCAGATTTCCTATTGTATGTGGTCACTCTTACAGTAGGTTCTATCAAAATCATTGTGAATCAAGCCTGTAAAAGAACTTTAGTAATGATCAGAAGACGTGTGCGCATAATACATTTAAGACATTCAGTTGAATATGGCGTAGTTGTTCAAAATGATAATAGTCGAGTACATAAAAACACGATCACGAGCCAGAATAAAGTACCAATTACCAAATCGTTCTTGAATCGTACTGCGCTTGTGGCAGGATTTCGACTGAAAAAAAAATGGAAAGGGCAAACTGAATGAGTTTCTCGATAAAATTATTGATAAAATTAAGCGGTACTTTCTTGCTTTATAGGTGTCGTTTCTCGCGAAGCTTCCTTCACTTGAAGCACTGTCTCTGTTCGGTAACCCGTGTTGCCTTGAAAAGGAGCCCTTCGACTATCGACCCTACGTGATCAATTGGTGTCTCGGACTTCGTGTACTTGATGACTACGTTGTGACTCAACGCGAAAGGTAAACAACTCTCTAAGCCCCTCGCAGGTCAAATCTTAAAAAAATATGCTGGTAGGATAAGTCTTTGAACAGTCTGTCCAACCCCAATAGCCAGTTAAAAATTGCATCAGTTGACTGGGAAGGCGGGCATAAGATTACGCGATATTAATTTTGGAGAGTGTTTTATAATGAAAATAATAAAAGTTTGACTATTCTCCTCGTATACTGTTGTCTATTTGCGAGTGAATCAAATGAGGACGGTAGCCAGATATTTAAATACTTACAGCGTCACCTTATAAAATACACTGGTAGCACCCTGTGAGTGCTCTTCGATTTCATGGGGCACCGAAAAAATTGTCCTGTGTATGATCGGATACCTGGACCTTTTAATAACCGTACGGTTCGTCAATTTTTGGTCTGATCACCTAAATCAGATTCCTTTCATAAGGGCTATAAGCCAGATACATTTTGATCCATGAAAATTCGACATAAATATACCCTTCGATTCGTATACTGACGTTTCTCAAAATTCAACTCATCTCTACACATCTTTTGTTTTAACTTTTTAGCTTCGCTTTTGTCTAATTATTCAATATAGTACATAGCGGTTCGCTTACAAATATGAATTGTCCGTTATCTTATAGTATTCACGTGTATTTCTTCTAGTTTGAAAGCCGAGTGGCTGTACAGCCAAGGTAAAGGACGGTTTTACACTTCGGGTCAGCACCAGCCGCTGATCGGCTACCTACAGCAAATCTGCCCCAAACAGGTGAGTAAGGTCGTCCACTTGAATCAAAAAGTACTTCCTAGCTGCGAACCATATATATATAGTAATCGTTTACTACACTACGTGGTTTTTGTACACTGTCAGAACGCAGAGACAGGCATTTCGAAATCTAACTGTTCAGGTGTATATTTTTTTTTAAAGTCGATACGACTCTTGCTTGAAGTGTTTTGTTCATATGAAGTACTGTAATTATTCTAATTTGTTAATTTAAAAAAGGCTTGTGTATCTAAATTATTTTTATGGCTGTTTATAAATGGTTATGATAATGGTTATAGCGGTTATTTACGAACACTATGGACCAAACTTTAGTGAAAATAGTTTGTTAGTTTGCACCGAGGCTAAAAGTTGTTGTGCTGTTCAGTTATGCCATGCTTATCGTGGAAATTGTAAAATAGTTACGAGTGGATAGATTTAGGAAAACAGGGCCTAAATTAGCAGGACGCGAGTATAATAACACTTGCCTTTTAGTACGTAAATGTTTGGTTTAAAACAAGCGTACATTGTTCAAACCTATTCCTAGTTGATATGTCATTATAATAGAGTAAAAACACAAGAAGGCTTAAAATATATACAAAATTATCAGTCTAAATCACTTAATTGTTTCGCCTGTACAACAGATTTTTCTTTTAGAAGCTTCGTTCCCACATAAGAATGCGGTGGTGCATTGCTTCAGTCAAACGAGCAATTTGTACTCGATACCATTATCAATATGTTTTTTGTACGTCGAAAGTTTTCAGGAAAATGACAAGACTGGATCGACGACATAACGGCACTCCTTATGTCGCTTTGATAGAACCTACTCCGCGCTATCCTGATACGTTTCCATAGATTCTAGCTGAACTACTTGAATATCTGTATCTAACAGCTTCACCTACTTAGACAAATTAGTGTTCACAAAAATGTGAATTATTCGCCTTTGGATTCACATTTGTTTTATTATTATTATTATTATTATTATTATTATTATTATTATACATACTATATAATTTACTATAAAAATTACACGTTTTTGAAAGGTGAACGCAATGATGGACAAGCGTCGTTTGTTGTCATCATCAACAGTCCTTTACTAGGAAAAAGTTGTACAGCCTGATTTGCTATTGAACATTGTAAGTTTTATTCAAACAAACTGAACGGCAGAGAACAATTTAGATTTGTTCAGATGAGTCCGAAATACAACTCAAAGGAATATAGAATCGTTTTCGCTGTTTAGACCAACTACGCAAACGTATTACGTCGCTGGACCTTCAATATAAAAGCAACACTTTTAGAAAGGAACGCGTAAACCGAAAGTGCACAGATTATTTAAAATGTTATTAATGTGACTGAATGAAACTAATGTGACTGACGTTATGTCAATGAATTCTGAAGTTGGCCCGCATTCGCGTACGCAGATATAATACCTGCCGTCCTACACAGATATATAACAAACGAGCGGCATCGCAAAGCGCGAAAAGAAAGATGACTTTATACACAAAGCATCAAGTGTATACACAATCTGTCGGTATGAAACCGTCGAACTGATTTGTGTTACATAATGACGCTAAACAAACTGATTGCGATCCATCGTGACGTCCAGTAGCTTACATTTGCTAGTGACGGCCAATTGGTAAATATCGGAAAAATTGCTAGCACTGTATTCTTTCATTTCTTCTATTCCTTCAGAAAAACAATCGAAGTTCTTGGAAATTCCGATAGCCGACACATTTAGCGGCATGCTCATCGAGTGCACGGGTAATGAGCGACATGTTGATCGAGTCCATGAGGCAGTAAATCAACATGATGGTTCGATTTTACCACCACACTTCACAACTCGCCTGAAAATCAAGACTCCAGTTTTTGAAGTATTTATTTGTGCCTTGATTCAATCCCGTTTGTCGTACAGTATGTGTCGTTAGTGAAAGTCGCTAAGAAATATACGTATATGTAACAAATCAAGAAAGTGCGAAGCTGAAACGAAGCTCTGAGTTGTATTGTTTTTCTTTTTTTGGTATCACTCCACAAAGGAATTGGAGTCAGACGATGACGCCCGAATTGGTTAGCATTGCATCCATAAGTATCCTAATGGCAAAGTCAAATGAGATTAAGCTCAATCCTATGTAATTCCAGTCCCTGCTAGCGTAGAGGAAACTATTTGTTTGCGATCTTTTCCACACGGTCAGCTCACGCACATATTTATCAAACTGGCTTAATTAGATGCGATCGTCGAAAGTAATGTAATCAACAATTGTTCACCGGTTTCGCCGCTTGACAATGAGTGACGAAATAAAAATTATTTAAAATCGTTATAATCGTCAATCAATTGACGTAGCCAGAAGAAATAAGATGCATTTTATCCGGTCTGATCGTTTTGTGGCCTCTCATATTGTTAGCATAATGATCGATGATAGAACAATAATGACCTTCCTCGAATAAATGAACAATCCCGGTTCGTCCGTCTGCTTTGATAACTTAACTGTTTTGTACGTTTTTCAAAATAGCCGTTATGGGCGATCAAAACCTACTTCGTCATTAAAATGCCAAGCGTTCCGTCATCTCCTGCAAGTTCTTACCAACTGCTGTATTAAACCCTTTCTCATTTTTCATGTGATCGAGTTGTCTGCTAACAATAATCACAAAGGCAATGGCGTGCTACGTCTATCAATTCATTTCGCCCTACACTTCAAATCTAAAATCTGCGTCATGAGCAGCTTTATACCTAGACGATGGTATGACGTTAATTATACGCCTTCGCACTTGAGTTCATGAAAAATGCTTCAGATGATTTCTCTTTCAGTAGTGTTAGTAATCAGTTTTACACGGTTACAGAGAATAAATATTACAATTATTAGAAACCAGATGTTCTTGTGGGTACATTCATACAACCTTTCCAGTAAGCGGGCCGTCTAAACAGGCCTTTAAAAACATTAATCAACTATTTAGTTTGTAATAATAGAAAGCATTTTTGGTAGACACGAATTTGATCATTTTATATTAACCGCCTGTCAAGCAGGATCTGTAAAAAAGGACGGTACCCTTTGCTAATAAATAAATCTCTCCGATTGACTCGAGTAAGTATAGATAGTATCGTGGATAATTTCCAACATCATATATAATGAGGTGATAATAGGTTTAAGGAAATTACGTTCGATAACAACATTAATAATTCTACCTATTTTCTAATAATGTGAACTGTCGAAATTGAGACATATGACTTGAAACGCGGTCCCTTAATTTCCCTCGAACGATCCCACTGCACTGTTTGTGCGATGTTTCTTTATGTAACGGCACTCGTCCAAAGTATACAAACTATAATCATTTATTTAAATTTGCATCAATTTGAATGCGCCCAACCACATTTAAACCAGAGATCTTCTGGTTGCCGGCGTTGCTGCCTACTTCATGAGGCAGCGCTAAGAAGGAGCATGTATTTTTACATGCATTTGATCTGCTAGAGTCGTGAAGGAGTCGTCAGAAGAGCAAACTCTATGGCCTGAGGTTGCCTCAGAGGATTTTTGCAAGTTAACTAACTTGTGGACATTAAATGATTGCTTTTTTGCTTAGGATGCGATACTTAGGATGGAGACAGTTGCTTGTTGGCGGTTAGGTGATATTTTTGTTGATCATGGCGACGTTAATCAATTTTCCACAACTTGCCTTAGTAATGTCTAGTCGATTTGCTTCATAATCGTATTTACACTTTTCGAGTAGTGATACTCATAAGCGTACTTTTTTCCTATAATTTGTCCTTGAATATTTTACTTTCTGAAACTCCGGACCGTGGGCTTAGTGGTTGCCCCATTTATTCCTTCATTGGAGCTCGCTTTAGTTGCGAAGAGACTCTTCATATATAAACAGAATCTTCTTCAACTCCTTCTTTTGGGGGGAAATATGGGATTGCCCGGGATTTATTATCAATAAACTCAACAACTGAGCACTGTGCTCAAGGCCATGGGCATTTATACGCCATTCAAGGTGTTTAGAGAGTGGGCGCTAGAAAGTCGAAGATATGCAAAAAAGTAGGGACTTTATTACAGTTCCTACAAGCAAGGAGTGTCAGTCATTTGATATATAGTCTCAGCTAGCTCAAAGTTAATAGGAAGAATCATTGCAGAAGGGCAAAACCTTTCGTGCCTATGATTTCAGATAAGTTGTGAATATTGTTGGAACCAACCACTCATTGGTTTTCTGCTACATTAATTTGATATATGTGTGTCATCTTACGCGTTTTGGGCACTTAACAATATTCTAGTTAGTATTACTTCACATATCAGACTGAAAATGAAACCTATATACATATATGTATATAGGCCTGTTTAATCAAATGTATATATACATATATATAAACTAGATATTTGAAGTATTCAGCGAATTGAAACACGAGTGTTACCAGTTAACAATCGTAAAGCTCTCGATTAGTGCCCGCTCCGCTATCGTGCGGTTCGAATCATCATGCCTTTTGATGTGTATCCTTTCCTGCTTCTTAGGTTATTTTCAACGACAACGAATGCGTCACATCCGCCATATTCACACGATACCCTTTCACTCCATTGGCTGAAATAACAATTTGCCTTAACTACACGTATATATGTTTTGTATACTGAAAAATGACACAAGTGAATCTAAGACTTGAGGGTATCTTCTCACCGACCTATTAACCCTTAACAACTAAATGCAATACGTTTACCTTATACATCTCTCATTAGCAATTGTTGCTTACTAAATGTTTGCATTGCATCATTATTAACTACATTTATAACAGGAGTGATTAACTGGACAGGACTTCGGGATGGAACCCCGTCAGCATTGAATATAATCTAATAATATTATTATATTACTATAAAAAATATACGAAAAGAATAAAATAAAACGTTCACCAGCAACACGGTCAATAGCCTGTAAATGCTATTTTTTAAGGTTCCTATGCTTAATAAATATCCACTGCTATGAAATTAAATGCTAAGATTTTACAATAGTGTTTTCAAATGTACGTGTTTTTTGGGGAAGGGGATCTTTCAAATAAATAATGCAGCTGAAACTTTTCCTGAGGAAAATCCGAACGATTCAAAGCTTTATATATAGTAAGGTCCGCATCGTGTAAAGCAAGGGTCAATGACGTAGTTGAGCACTCAAATTGGAAAACCTATGAATAAACCGTAACCAAATTTGATTCATGATATAGGCGGTACTTCGAAAGTGGCGAGAGTTTCTTTATAAAACATGTTGGCGGCAATTGTGCTATTGTGATCATACTGCATTATCCATTCGTACATTCGAGTGCGCCTCCATACTTTTCGTCTGATTCGCAGCAAAGTTATTAAACGAAGGTCTTCGTTTCCTGCCCCCTTCCATATATATGGGTTTGTGTGTTTGTTTCTCAACGTGGCGCTACAGCAGTATCGTAGATGAAAATCGGCTGTCTTCTAAGTGGCTGACTTTTACGCGTATTATTGTGTGATATGGCTCGAAGCTGAGTGGAAGCGGCAGAGCCTGACGCACTAAGGAAGTGGTGTCTATTACTGATTGATATGTTTACGGTGCATTGTGACTGTGGCGGAACCCACCGCGATGGCGAAACAGATCTGATTTCTTACGAAAAACTAGCATCTCATTTAAAACGATTTAACACGGTCTATCTTATACTCTTTGACAGAGCGTAATTGATAACGCGAGCTTTTTCGCATTATTCATATGTAATATATTGTAGTAAAGTATATTTATTCGCTGACGTTTTTCTTTGGTTACACCTATTGGCATTACAACAGCTCGAAACAAACCTTATACGAACGTATGTAGCTTCGCGAGTTGTCAGCCCGTCTACCAATAACGGGTCTGCTTTCAATCGACGCACGTCAATATGATGGGCGGGTCGTCCTAACACATGTACATCAGAGTTAACGTGTTCATTCTGGTTCCGTTGTGGAATACGCCAGCCATTATAAGCCCATTCGAAATACGGAACTCGATTAAGATGCCGGCCGAAGGCTGATTTAAACCTATAATGAAAGAAAACTCCGCTTAATACAAGTACTCACATAACAATAGAGTCGCAAAAATGAGAATGAATGCTCTTCTAACCCGTTTCACTTTAGTTTGTTGTTTAACTGTAGCTGCTTTGCGAAGAATGAAATATATTTTCCAATTATTGTTTTTTGACTCGAATCTTGTACGTATCATTAAGAACTTATAGATAAACAAGAACCAGCTGCAGCAAAGAGAGACTGCGCCATCAACAATAAAGTCAGAAATATGATGACGGCCCTGAGCTGGCCGACGACCGTCCCGGTAACACGTTGTTGAAGACTTACGACAAGCAATAATAATATACATATAGTAGATACGCGAATTCGAAGCATTTCTCAGATGCTCGAATTTGACCAAATGCAACGTCTTAAGCTTTATAATGTTCAGTTTCATCAGCCCGAACAATTATACCAGTGCTAGAAGCGAACGAGTCATGACTATAGATGATCTTCTACCAACGGACGTCGGATGTCGAATTTGTCAGAACCCAACAAACTTAAACATGTCAAAGAACAAACAGAAAAAGTTACAGCTATCCGTCTATTTTTTTAGGACGCACTCGTCATCAACATTAGTGTTTTACGAGGCCCCGTTTATTAGCTTTCTGTTAGGCGTAGATCGGCAAGCCGCATTCTCTGTTCTGTTATTGTCATATCTATTATTGCTCTCATCTCACTATTATCACAGCTTAAGTCGATTGATACGTATAATGGCGAAACGGATGATTCGTCCTCCACCGCCATTGCTGCCACTAGCGCGCGGTGCAGTGATCATCCCACCTAAGATCGCCTGTTATTAGGCTCCGCGCTCGAAAATTCAAGCGCACTTTCGCCCACAAACACTCCGACAGACACGGCGCACGCATACATACATACATTCATACGAAACAATAACAGCCGCCATGGGTGAGAAACGAAGAGTTCAAAAGGCCATGCCTTCCGAGTATTTTCGTAACGTGGTGCCGCTGCTTAACACGGGCTCTCGCGCTCTCTCAACAATAACAACAACAACAACAGCAGCAGCAGCAGCAACAAAACAGTTCGACGGAACAGGCAGGCCAAGGGCAACAGCAAACACGCCGAGAGTCCCTTGTTGTTTGTTGGGCGTTGATTCTTTATATTCGCTACTAACGCGTCGGTCATTGCTGCTGCCGCATTAAATGCCGTTGGCACTGCCCTATTCTCTGCCATTGATGCTTTTGACCTCCTCCAGCAGCGGCCGTGCTGCCACCGCCATCGCCATCGCCATCTCTTACATGCCAGCATGGTAAGAGCTAACGGCGCGATCCCCATCGCGCACACGGCAGTGCGCGCCAACTGAGTTGAGTCCATTGCTATGGGGCTTATCATTGGCCGCTATTGAAAAGCAACGATGGCTCTAACAACAATGGGATTTGAACGAGGCGAGAAAAACAGCTGGTGATGGAAGCGATTGACAGCGGCCGTTGAGTTCGATTGAAGCGACATCTTTAAACCAGAATTAGCCGATGCCAAGTCAAATGGAGCAAACCACAAAAATCATGCGATTTGACCAAATCGACCGGTTGGCTGGCCACTATTGAGCGATTATGTGACGCCCCCTCAACAGCAAGCGATAGGAAACAAGCCGTACTGAGGCGCCGTTGCCGATACTCCGCCACGAGGATGATATGATGTGGGATAGGTTACGTCGCAAAACCTACGGAGAGAATGGCGGGCGTAAAGGTGGCTTATTGATTGTAGCCAAAACAGCAAGATGATCACATTGAGATTTGATAGCGGCTCATCCCCCGTTCTGATTTAGAGCTTTATGCCGTTTCCCGGCACCATCAGGGACACTGATCACCACACGACGGGGTTTTTAGTTTTAGCTATTAGTATGTAATGCAAAATTGAGAATTGTTGAGTTTCGGAGACTTCACCCAGTGACGTACCGGTTCAGCACAAACACTGAGTTTGAAGATGAATGCAAATAATAGATCTGTTCTTCAGATGTGTGGGGTGTTCGGACTGAGGAAAAACTGAAATATGCTTAGGTACGCATAGGATGATAATGAATATTTTTGGGATGACCAGGATATCGGTCTGATTGTGGTACGAACACATGGAGTTGTTTGCGATCTACTGATTCATGAAGTCATAGAGTACACAGAGGACGATGGCTATATCAGCCGCATAAATCTGATTATGTTTCGTCTGCTATTGAGCCAACATACATGAAATGTACATGTCTTGCATATAAATGATCTTGGACGGATATTCGAAGTGCGTTTGCCAACTGCAATATATGGCGCTCTGACCTACCAAGATCTGATTTAATTTTAGATAGCCACAATGTGCTGTAGCTGTTAGTACGCATATTTAGAAATCCTATGCGGGTGGTTATGCGATACGTCGAAGGCCACTGATATGTACTATTCTCTCCTCATTTATTCCGTCGTCTTGCTGGAGATTATTTATTGTCAAAGCGGTCTAACACAATACGTTTCGAACTATTCACAAATAAACTGTTATACGTACAAGTCGATGAACTGAAAGAGATTATGCCAAACAATATCGTATGTCAATAGTACCATTAAAGGTAATGTGTGAGCACAAATAGAGAGGGCTTAGGTCTTCCTAAGTTCATGTTCGGATATGTGCTATTTTGATATTTGTAAGCGTCCGTAGAGATACTGTCGAGACGGCAATATGTCAGATAGATAGCCAACAAAGCCATTTTCCTGCTGCCATAGAAAAAATGGTTAATATAATTCGTAACGTCCGCATGGGTCGACATCGTCGTCTTGGAAAGCGGTTTTACCTAAGCGGGCAATCAATAATGTGGCTTCGTTTCGACTTGACTAAATCCTTCGAATCCTTGAACTCAGCGGTGCTGCCTGTCTGTAGGGCCAATTCAGTTGTCTAACATTCGACAACTGATGATGCGATTAACATGGCTATGATAGAAAAAGGTCTCTACTCTGTAAAGCCAGTTCCGTCCGTCGACAAATACGAAAACGAAATCGTAAATAAAAAGTCATTTTTTTTGTTATTGAAAATAGAGACAAAATAACTGAAACCTACCGTTCAAGCGTTTCGCGCGTATTAATAGATAGAAGTTTTACGAGACTGGTTCTTTACTTGCTTAAATTCGATTGTAGTCATAATCATCGTCATCATTATTATTATTATTAGATGGCGTACGTGTGTGTGTTGACACATTGCATTTTACCGGTTATTTAGCAGACGTTTCAAGAGTTGTTCTTCTTCTTAACTGTAATTGTTTATACTAAAATGACGCTATGTAGATCTGTACTTCGTAGTTCGTTACGTTAGTACACGCCGGAATCTTGAAATGAAGCACCTACTTGTACATGATACGAGGTGATAAAATTGGCGTTAGACGATTTCATAATCGAATATTTGAAGTGTTTTTTTTTTTCTGTGTTTTCCCTGCCGTTAGTCGTGCTGCTCGGATGCTTTTTTTTTCGAATTAATATATTTCAGAGTGAATCGCTAAATGGTCGCAATTGTTAACTCAGACTGTTAAAGTAAGTAATGTACCTTAAAATGACAATCAACTGGCAAATTTTAACGTCTCCGGTCATCGCTCATTTCTTTAGTAGAGCCTGATCACTGAACGTCAGCTACGTTCAGCTCAATTGTAAACATTCGGATATCAAGCGGACAAGACATTATATCAAGCGTTCATTTACCACAACAGCAACGTGTCACCAATGCAGCTACGGCCTCTATTAGTACAGAATTAAAATGTGAGATAATAAGGGAATTAGGAAACGCGACAAAATTGGTGGTACCTGTCAAAACGATGCAGCAAAGCTCGCGGATCAGCTTGAAGATTCGCGCGCTACGCACAACTCAATATGATCATTTACTTACTTTGTGCAATAATTTCAGTTAACCTGCGTCAACTTGCCAATCAACCACCATTCCAGAATATGTATTAGACTAACAATAATAGCACAATAGATTCAGTTAGTTGACAAAAGACGACCCGTGAATATAGTAATAGTATGCGGTACATAACACTAAGAAACAAATAAGCAAATAAACACACACATTCAAACACACAGTTTTGTTCTATACAGTCATGTGCGCTAGTGTTACAGCATTGTGCTTTCTGGCCGCAGCCGCCGGTAGCTCCACCACCTCTCCTAGAAATTTACAGGGGCAGAGCGCTGTCGCCGGCAACGTGCTCCCACTTGCCCTTGCGTCCCTTTCGTTTTTCTACTGACGAACATCGTGAAACCCCTCGCCTTTTCAGGACTATTCCCTTTCTCGACTGGCCATTGGAAATCCATTGTCCATTAGCCAAACTGTCCTAGGCCGCGCGTTCTTCATATCGTAGCGCTCACAGTTAGCACCACTCACGGGACGGTTGCGGCGACAGTATGCTGTTGTTAGGTGACTGATCGAGTACTTAGATGGCCCCTTCTACCCGTCTTCCCCTTTTCATACCTTGTCTTGCTGACGCCAAGGTAAACTAGCATGGCTTTGAGCTAACCGTAACCAGTTAGACGTTAGCCACCTTGCCCCAGATAGGAAGTGGAAAATCGACTATATCACTATTGCTGCTATGGAAACAACTGATATACGTCACCGAATCGGGTCAATACACACTGTGTTACCATGCACATGACTGCACGGGTGGGCGGTCGGGTGCGCGAGGGTAACCGACAGTGAACGCTCATTGGCAGGATGAAGAATTAAATGTAGAAACAAAGAGACAGCCGGCACAGGGACAGAAACATACGCATGTATATATTGTACATCGTTGCAGTAGTGGCGCAAACCATCTTGTTGCGTTAGAGATAGAGGTATCGCTGCAATGTAACGTTATCGGCGTCTACGGTCGCCACGTGTATAACTGTTTTTGGTCAGTGTTTTTGCTTTTGAAAACATAGTGGGTACATACTTACATCAGAAAATTTGACAAACAAACACTCAAAGCACTTTTAAGCGGGTAATTTATTCGAAATTTGCGTAAAGACAGTGGCGATGTCGAACGACGAATCCTCTGTAACCATTCTGGGCTAACTGCATTCATTTAGAATGGCTATCGGTTTTTGCGTTTCTTTGCAGCGATTCGATATAATACGGGTACAAGGCGGAATCAGTAGAAATAAGCGAAACAGTAGTTTGGTCAATGGTAGGAGTTTGTTCTTTTATCTGAGGCTGGTATATGTGGTTTGTCTGAATGAATGAGTTGCCGGACACATTTAAATAGATGATTTCTTCATAGAGAACAAACACAATCCTTTGGGTCTCATATCCTGAAAATACATATTTTCGACGCAATTGATTGAGCGTATAAGCGACGAAGAGATTTACCAAAGACGAAGATGTTATTTATTTATTTATTTATTTATTTATTTATTTATTTACAGACAGACAGACAGACAGACAGACAGACAGACAGACAGACAGACAGACAGACAGACAGACAGACAGACAGACAGACAGACAGACAGACAGACAGACAGACAGACAGACAGACAGACAGACAGACAGACAGACAGACAGACAGACAGACAGACAGACAGACAGACAGACAGACAGACAGACAGACAGACAGACAGACAGACAGACAGACAGACAGACAGACAGACAGACAGACAGACAGACAGACAGACAGACAGACAGACAGACAGACAGACAGACAGACAGACAGACAGACAGACAGACAGACAGACAGACAGACAGACAGACAGACAGACAGACAGACAGACAGACAGACAGACAGACAGACAGACAGACAGACAGACAGACAGACAGACAGACAGACAGACAGACAGACAGACAGACAGACAGACAGACAGACAGACAGACAGACAGACAGACAGACAGACAGACAGACAGACAGACAGACAGACAGACAGACAGACAGACAGACAGACAGACAGACAGACAGACAGACAGACAGACAGACAGACAGACAGACAGACAGACAGACAGACAGACAGACAGACAGACAGACAGACAGACAGACAGACAGACAGACAGACAGACAGACAGACAGACAGACAGACAGACAGACAGACAGACAGACAGACAGACAGACAGACAGACAGACAGACAGACAGACAGACAGACAGACAGACAGACAGACAGACAGACAGACAGACAGACAGACAGACAGACAGACAGACAGACAGACAGACAGACAGACAGACAGACAGACAGACAGACAGACAGACAGACAGACAGACAGACAGACAGACAGACAGACAGACAGACAGACAGACAGACAGACAGACAGACAGACAGACAGACAGACAGACAGACAGACAGACAGACAGACAGACAGACAGACAGACAGACAGACAGACAGACAGACAGACAGACAGACAGACAGACAGACAGACAGACAGACAGACAGACAGACAGACAGACAGACAGACAGACAGACAGACAGACAGACAGACAGACAGACAGACAGACAGACAGACAGACAGACAGACAGACAGACAGACAGACAGACAGACAGACAGACAGACAGACAGACAGACAGACAGACAGACAGACAGACAGACAGACAGACAGACAGACAGACAGACAGACAGACAGACAGACAGACAGACAGACAGACAGACAGACAGACAGACAGACAGACAGACAGACAGACAGACAGACAGACAGACAGACAGACAGACAGACAGACAGACAGACAGACAGACAGACAGACAGACAGACAGACAGACAGACAGACAGACAGACAGACAGACAGACAGACAGACAGACAGACAGACAGACAGACAGACAGACAGACAGACAGACAGACAGACAGACAGACAGACAGACAGACAGACAGACAGACAGACAGACAGACAGACAGACAGACAGACAGACAGACAGACAGACAGACAGACAGACAGACAGACAGACAGACAGACAGACAGACAGACAGACAGACAGACAGACAGACAGACAGACAGACAGACAGACAGACAGACAGACAGACAGACAGACAGACAGACAGACAGACAGACAGACAGACAGACAGACAGACAGACAGACAGACAGACAGACAGACAGACAGACAGACAGACAGACAGACAGACAGACAGACAGACAGACAGACAGACAGACAGACAGACAGACAGACAGACAGACAGACAGACAGACAGACAGACAGACAGACAGACAGACAGACAGACAGACAGACAGACAGACAGACAGACAGACAGACAGACAGACAGACAGACAGACAGACAGACAGACAGACAGACAGACAGACAGACAGACAGACAGACAGACAGACAGACAGACAGACAGACAGACAGACAGACAGACAGACAGACAGACAGACAGACAGACAGACAGACAGACAGACAGACAGACAGACAGACAGACAGACAGACAGACAGACAGACAGACAGACAGACAGACAGACAGACAGACAGACAGACAGACAGACAGACAGACAGACAGACAGACAGACAGACAGACAGACAGACAGACAGACAGACAGACAGACAGACAGACAGACAGACAGACAGACAGACAGACAGACAGACAGACAGACAGACAGACAGACAGACAGACAGACAGACAGACAGACAGACAGACAGACAGACAGACAGACAGACAGACAGACAGACAGACAGACAGACAGACAGACAGACAGACAGACAGACAGACAGACAGACAGACAGACAGACAGACAGACAGACAGACAGACAGACAGACAGACAGACAGACAGACAGACAGACAGACAGACAGACAGACAGACAGACAGACAGACAGACAGACAGACAGACAGACAGACAGACAGACAGACAGACAGACAGACAGACAGACAGACAGACAGACAGACAGACAGACAGACAGACAGACAGACAGACAGACAGACAGACAGACAGACAGACAGACAGACAGACAGACAGACAGACAGACAGACAGACAGACAGACAGACAGACAGACAGACAGACAGACAGACAGACAGACAGACAGACAGACAGACAGACAGACAGACAGACAGACAGACAGACAGACAGACAGACAGACAGACAGACAGACAGACAGACAGACAGACAGACAGACAGACAGACAGACAGACAGACAGACAGACAGACAGACAGACAGTGTTTTGCTTTTGAAACTTATTTCTTCGAAACTAGACTCCAGCTGTTTCTGCCGACAAGCGTGGGCAGTAATGGGATACTTAACAATCATAACTGCGTAAGTGATCTTTTTTTTTCAGGGTGTTAATCAATTGTTAATTAATGATCCAAGATTAAATTTTCAACAAAAAGTATCTTAAAACTCTATTAGAAGTATTAAAATGTAGCAGAAATAAAAAGGCAATATTGCAGGAAGTGTCAGGCAAATCCACCTGTGCGGCTTCCAATTACTTAGAGAGATACATGCTATCAATGTAGATGATCCGGACAGACCTTCGGGATCCGAGCAGCACCTGGAAAATTGTGAACAGGATACACATATTTTGAAGGATCTCAAAAAATATATATACAAATTTGATGGCACAATTACTAGAGATCACTGCATTTTTCTTTGACAGCACTTACTTGAATTTACTACTAAAATCTGTTTTAATGCCCATTCGAACGTACTTTGGTGAGAATGAAGAATATTTCCAACAGGACAGAGCGCTTGCACGCCATTATCGTAATGTAAAGGTGTATCTTGACGGAAAACTTTAACGAGCTCGGACAAACAAATCCTGTAAGGCACATTGCCCGTTTATGTAAGCAAAAATCTATAATTATCTAAATGGTATACATTTTTTCGGATAGCTGGCACTAAAAGAGCTGTCGAGAAAATACTGACCGTTTTTCAAACTTCAAAATCACATATTTCAGGCAATACGAGTTGAGTCGTGTCGTCAGTGTCATTTGAAAGCTGAGATTTAAAAGCAGATGGATTAGCATGGCTTTATTCAGGCTTAAGGTAGCCCCTTAAGGATGAGTGGAATTTTTGTGGAAATTCGATATATTTTATAATTTTGCCACCATAAAAGTTCAATTGCTGCTTAGACCTACAAGAAAATTTTATATGGTGAAGATGCGTTATGGGAAGAAACGGTTCAAGATGGTTCTGTCGCTTTTGTACTGGAAATTTCGAAGTCACCGATGTTCCTTGTAGCGGTAGACTAGTTGCAAAATAAGTTAATGGACTGGTTGTGACAGTAGGAGATCCACCATCAAATAATTGTAAACTCTTTGAAAAAAGCCGGCTACAGAAAAAAAAACACTCGATGTTTAAGTGGTACAGAAATGAAATGATGAAAGTGGGCCACATACGACAATAAGCTGTATACCTAATTATTTTGTCACTGACTAAATGATCATTCCTGCGATCACCATTGGCACTGTTCGTTCAGGCTTCTGCAAGTGTCCTTAAAATTCACGGGAGATATGTCGACTATTGCATACCATTCCGACGTAGTAGAAATGGGATTATTCACTAATCAGTCGAAATACATTTGACAGCGTCGATCAACTTATATCACAAAGAACTAAACAAAGACCGACTGCTGAATACGCTATTGGAGGTTGAGGAAGCGGTGTTGCGTTTTCGGAAATCACTGCTGCTAATGTTTTCGTGGCTGGTATTCGTATCAGTCTTACTACTGCTTCCACGGGTAGCAGTTTCCGGGTGTTAGTCGATGAAGCATTTAAGCGACACTCTAAAACGGATTGCAGTTGCTACTGCCCTATTGTCGGCTCAGATTAGCCTACATTAGAAGGTTTTCATTTCATCTGACTGTTATAGTCGATGCGTGCTGTCTAGTTAGTCATTTTTAGTTACGGCGGGCCCCCTCGCAGGAGGGCTATGAGCCCGCATAAGCCAGTCAGCAAGCCCCGTTGTATGGCAGCTTGTCGGTCCACATGAGCTGCCCGTTTGACTACCCGGCTTGGCTCCTGCTCGATTACCTTGAAAGTACTAACTGGTCCAGCCCGCTTGGGACTCTCAGCCATGGCCCCGCTCAGTGCACGAAACACGGTGAACAAAGAGCAGTTCGACCGACGACCAACGTCGTATCGGACGTAAAAGCGAGCGAGCGAGCTCGCAAAAAACTAGTGATGGCGGGGGCTGAAAGAAGTACAAACGACGCATGTTAGCAGGGCTTCGCTTGAACGCTAGCGACGTTGACGACTGGTAGTCTACGGCACCTTCGAGTCTCTGTGCTGCTCGTGCTGGAGCTAGCTGAGGCTGTTCTCTTGCTGGCATCCTTACGGTAGTAATTCATTCGGTTAATACTTCCAGAACCACTTGTACATTCATAGGCAGACACAATACACATGATACTAATCACAGGTGACCCAGATATCGTCCTAACATTTTATTTTATTGTTCATCAATCAGATACAATTATCACTAAACTGCGTGTAGCTAAAGAAGTTCAAAAAGAAAATACGCAATTCTTGTTAGTGGATGTACAGCGATACCATATCATCAGTCTTAAGTTAGCTTCACTTTCGTGCGAATTATCAAACCAGTATAGCTGAAATAGAGGTTCTATTATTGAGTAGGTTAAAGTAGTAACTGTGAAATGTATGGGATATGCTTCCATTTGCTCTATATATATATATATATATATCTAATCCTTTGTTGTGAGGAAGCAAATCATGTAGACGCCTCAGCGCTTAAGTTCGACGATTCGGCAGCATTAGAGTCAGGAAATTTGCGTTATATACCAGGTGAATAGTAAGTGAAACAAATGACATAACATTACTAAAGAAGAAGTTGCAAAAAGCTAGCGCCTAGGCGTCCTCTAAAATGGTAGCCATTTTGGGCGACACTTGAAAGGGCTCTAATTAGATATACTACGCGTCGTTACACAACTAGCAGGAAAGCATGTAATGCTACTAACGACGTTCTACTGAAATTTATTTAGAATTTTCTATTCGGCCATCTTTGCCATTCATTTTTGGGATATACCCCTTCAGCTTTGGAGTCGTTTGCTTGCTGTTCGGTCAGTCAGGTAAATCCGAACCAGCCAAGGCAACCCTAGGGAGATCAGAACGACACCAAAGAAGATACAGGCTGACCACTTTGTGCTAACTAAGCTGTAACTTCATGCTATCGTATCGCGTTTCGTATGTGGACATGCAAAAACAAAGAATCTCAGTTCTCTTCCACACCAGGAGCGCGCCGTTTCGTGTTGATTCGTCGTCTGAAACGACCCCATCGGCTACAAACTGTTTGCCGGGCCATTGCTGTTCCAGGGTCTGTCTCGACCCGCTCTGAACTGACTGAAGCCGGTTTCGCTTGGTTAAAGACGCTTGCGTGTGTGTTTAGCGCCGGTGATAGCTGGATGGTTGGGTCGCGGCACGGGGCTCCGCAAAGTTCTCGGCAGCTCTTGGGTGACGTCCCGCTAGCGTTTGTGAGCATTCTCAAGAAACGATCGGTTGTCCACGGAAGACTAAAATAACTAACAAATGTTGCGGAGCCAAGAGACTGCGCGCACAACGACAGTCAACACAGTAGCTGTAACAACCACGCTTCTGTTGGTGATACACGTTTCGTTGGCAATGTCGATGATTTTAAAGGGGTCCCGTGAAGAGGACTTAAAGTGCCGGCGAATCCGTCGGCTACACGAATTCCTTCTTTAGATCTGAATGTGACTGTACCTCTCTGATAGCCCGGTTTGTGTGTCTGTGTGAGCCACGCAGATTGGCGCACGTGTGGCAGCGCGTTCACCGCTGCCAAAGCAACAAATGCTAATCTGACAGTAGACAGAGCGGGCAAATGCGGACGCAACACGTCGCTGGGTACCGTAACCCCTCCATTCCTCCCCCGTCGCGCCGGCGCACCGCTGACGTCAACGACAATGGGGATTCAGTAGCGGGTAATCAAAAAAGTGAGTCGTTCACGAATGCGTTAACTATTCGCTGGCCAGACGACGGACAATTTTGCTTGGGTTTTTTACGACGAACATTTTCCTGTACGCCGCGCAAACGCGTGCATATCAGTTGTGGATGTGATCAACCAGGACGTTTGAAAGCTCAGAATTTCAAAGGGATGATCTCCCAGGAAAAAACTGTTCTAGCCCAGGTTGCTGGGGAACACTCACAAAACTATATACTCATACACGTAGCTGTGCACCCTGAAGTTGTATCGTAAGCGTAAGTTATGCTCACATCAAAAAAATTGTTTCTTCATTCATTTTCATTAACTGAAGTATCTTCAGAGTATCTGCAAACAGAAGGAAAGCATCCACAAGCAGAATTAAAGCTAGCCCATAGTCTGTTACGTTAATGGGTCCATGTATACTTCGGGTGTGGCCTACAAGCACAGAACTTTGAATAAGGACGAAATATATATATTTCCAAAATGATTAATATAACATAGAATACAAACGTTTTAATATTTAAGTTGAGGTAAGTTGCAATGACGTCGGACAGCGTACGAATTGGAATAACTTATCCCTTTTCTACATATAGCTTTAGTACAACTCTAACTAGACTTGTTTGAATTCATGTTCACAATCAAACGCAATCACTCTAGCGACAAATGCGGCTCATGCAAGGCAAGTTATCTAAAGCTAGCTACCTCTAACAGACTTGATTGGATGATCTTTTACCAAATAAAATTCGTGTACCAAAGCTGTGAAGTTTCTTAGCTGCATCACAATGGTAAGTGTGGAGCTTCATTGCACATATGGTCGCAAAGATGTCTTGGTGGTTACTAAATGCTCTTCCAGAGATAAGCTAAATTTTCTAAGCTACAAAAAACCTCGTTATAGGAGTGTTACCATCAAATTTATTTACGCTACCGCAATTCATGTCAAATATTTATTTTAAGCTACTAAAATTAATAAGACTTATTTACATTGTGTTCTAATGCAAGTCTATCTTGGGAAGGCACACGTATCATAACAAACTAAACCTTCGTTTTCTAATTAGCAAGAGTTAAAAATAAAAATCAAAACTTTAATGATTATCAAAAACGCATTAGAATTGAAAAATTGCACTTGGAAACTTCATTCAATAACAAAAATTTGTAAATACCTTCATTTTCAATGGATGCCCATCTGATGACTATTGATGTTCTGCTAAATGAACGTCTTACCTATGGCCACGACAGCAAGCGCGATCGGCCCAAGTTGGAATGGTCGCTAGCAATAGGCTGACCTCGTTGGAGACGCAACGTTGTCTCATCACGAACTCTATGGGCACTGGCTTGCAACCCTGTCGAAGGCCGCGGTTATTCTCGCTATTTCCACTACCACCAGCGTTACCACCATAGTCAACGCTATCAACGACAACGCCATTGCGGCCTGAAATAGCCAGCAAGTCGATTCGGGCAGAGTTCCTCTACTGTCCAAAGCTGAACTGCGCTAAAAACCAGACCAAGGCAGCTTCCTTAAAATCTCTTGAAGACACTACCTTCCGTGATTGACTGCCACACAAATTGATTAATAAGTCAAGCCAAAGTGACTTAACCGCCATGGCAAATGGATGCTAATACAAATAGCTATAGGGACACGCAAAGCTTTCTGCTTTATTTTGGTTTGGCCGGATTAAACTTGCAGCCAGTGGATTACCTGTGATACGGGCATTGTCCCGGCTATCGCAGCGCCGCTCACCACTGGCGCTTTTCCATTCAATTCTGTTGTTGCTGCTACTCCTGCTGTCCCGAGTCACGCTTGCGCGCCTCGAAAGAAAAATTGGTTCTTAGTACTAAACTACCACTTAATGGTCAATGGCCTCCGTATTCGTAAAGGAACCCACACTGACAGGATGCGTAGCACTATATGAAATTTACGTTATTTCGTCGTCGACCAGAGCTTCTTAAATTTTTTTTTATACGTGTTCATTTGTATGTATCATACTACCGATGCATTATTTTTCCAGGCATTTTACCAAACACTGGTCTCCAATTCAAGTATCATTTACGTGACAGTAACAGCTCGATCTGAAAGCAGCGGCAAGAAGAATGATTCTCTGTGGCACCGCGTATGACTCAAGGCTTGTATGGTGTCATTAATATGACGACCGGATCAACAAAAGATGTTTTAAACCAAGTGCTCTGGACGCATTTGTGCTATGGGAGTCGTGAAGCAGGAAGGAAAGTCGTATTGTTTCGCCGTCTAGTAACGTCTGCTAGTGGTAGTGAGACCCTGCGCAAACAGGGCCGAGTCTACCACGGCGGTTCATGCAGTTTCGATCGACTAGAGAAACCAATTGTTCGAAGGCACCTTTGCGCAGTCATCCAGGGCTTGCTTTCTCAATAAGGCCAATTTATGTCGTAGAGAGACGCGCCTAGAGCTCGTGCTCGAAAAACCGTGTTTCACCGTAACCAGCCAACATGACTACAGAATGAACTTTTAACAAGAACAAGGAGAAGACCGGTCCAACGGACTCCTTCAAGGAGATATATAATGGTAGTAACTGGTCATCAGCGATAATTTTCGTTGAGCGATGGTCGTCAGATACGAACTGTTCTTTGATAGATGGACTGAAGGATCTTTTCTTATATGTATATAGTGAGCGAATTTGTTGTGACTGTATGGTTTCGATTGGCGATTTTTGCGTAAAAAAAGCGTATAGATAGACCGGATGGAATCCACAAAATCTGACAACGTTATCATATCATCGTAGTTAACTAATTAATGGTCTACAATTAGTTTTCACCGTAGGATCTCTTACATAAATGAATACAAACATTGCAGGGCAACGCCGGTCTATGTACGACTGCTCGTGCACATTTAGTAGAGCTACTAACACAAGCGAAGTGTTTGAATGTTTGAAATCAACTGAACAACGAAAAGTATAAGCGGCCATAATAATTTTCCACAAAAATCTGTTTTTATTATAAAGTATCCTGTCCTACCAATGGCTATCAGAGAACGTTTTAACATTCACATTTCCAAACCACAACGAAGTAAGCTAAACACAAACGTATACTAACAATATTAACAAAATTCCCTTTTTTCACGAGGCGGCGTATCAGCTTCACCTGTTGGTGTTTGTAGATCTGTTGCAATTCATAGCGTTTTGTTTTCAACATCAGTTGAATTGTTTTATACTTGAAGGGATTAGTACTTGAAATAAAACACTTGAAGGAGGGGACACCGGCAATAATTGCACAGAAATTGTGCAGCATTAGAAGGCGTCGTGCTAGTTCGTTCGTCTCTCACGTGACGGTCCTATATATATATATATATATATATATATATATATATATATATATATATATATATATATATGTCACTGTAGTATTTTGCAATAACGGAACTTCCCACGATGTACAAAAAAATACAAAAGATGGCGGTCGTAACGTAAAACCGCACAAGTCCATGTGAGTATACAGTATTACGTTTATTTGTACGCAAGTGAGCGTAACACTGTTCTTGCTGTTCCCCAAACGGGACGTTGACCCGTGCGCACAGACCTCTGCTATATTTAGATTTGAAGCTACTCCTCTTGCTTCAACTATTGGCGTCATCAATACCGGATGCTGTTGATGTCCCTGTCGCAGCGCGATCCGCAAATTCGAGTCAATGATTAACGATAACACAGAGGATACCCCCGCAATCCTTGCCTCTGCTGCAACCGGCAACAGCAGAAACAACCATCTTATAGCCAACATAACCAAGATCAGCAACAAAAGCACAAGGAGCAGAATAGGGAAAAAGGACTCAGCTAAAATACTCCGACGTATCGATTTTGTTGCCATCTCCCGCTTCCGCGATGGAACGGTTATGCATCGCTACGATGTCGTCTGTCGACGCTACTAAGGTTATAGTTAGGCTAACGGCTAACCTAGCAGGGATTTGCCGACAATACGGCGGCATCTTGGCAATTAGTGATCGGCGACTGGAAAACTCGGACATTGACGTCTATATAGGGATGGAATGGCATAGCATATAGGGCCATCGCTTTTTTCCGAGGCGTCCTGAAACGGTTCGACGGTATTGAGGGCGATCGATGCCGGCTTGTTGGCCAGCGCGCCCGAATATCTCTTGATTAGCTAAATATTCGAGAAGCTATCGGTGACCGATACAAGTAATTGCCAAACCAGTTGGTAGGATCGGGTGTTTTTTTTTTTGGTAAGCGCGTACAGTCTGCCTAGGTTATGTGCTTCCTGGCAAGGGAGTCATCTCATAAGGAAATCGTTTGTCTTGTATATGTAGGAGCTGGTGAGATACAAGTTCGCTTCGCGACCAACTGTAGCTATAAAGCAACTGCCGCCGGACAAGACAGTAACGGTAAGTAGTGTTGAGCAGTTTCTTTGGAGAATTAAGTTTTTTGAAAATCGACGAGCATCTATAGAGAGCCATCGATGATGGCGTGTGAATAAATCAGTCACTCAGAAATCATCGCACGTTACGTTTGTAAATTTCTCTATTATTGCAAAATAATGTATCTGCCAAAAAATCATCATACCACACGTAATACTTACTACGCGGAGTTATCGCAATTCTACTAACATGGACAACGTGGTACTGATGGACAGTTCAGCCCGTTGAATTGTATAGCCGAAATATTGTCAAACAAAAATATTTATTCGCAAAAAAAACAGGAAATCTTTAATAACATCTTTTACCATTGGCCTATTTACAGGTCATACAATACGCAGACACACTTACTGCCGCCTATTCGCTTTAAGGCGGTGTGTGCCGATAAACAGTTTGTTTCTCTCCTGGTAGAAGTTTGTGCAGTATTTCTACTGCTCTATACGATAATTACCTACAGACGATGCGGTAGTTATGTCAACTGGCCAAACAACGCAATAGGCATTGTAGACGTAAGATCGACGAAAGGAGCGGATGTTTCTATGTGCAATGCGGCTACACAAAGAACCTAGGGTATTAGCGCGTTCGTTTGATTTCTCTTGCATTGTGATCACACTAATTCTTGGTTACGCGCCAATTGATCATGTTCGACTATGGAATATAATCACCCGAAGAACGGAGACAGCTTCGGCGACGGTATTTTCACACCTTTTGTTGTTAGCATGTTAGTACGAATATGCCGTATAGAAGCGTATCGATCGAATCATCTGTCTGGGTTATAACTTCGCTATCGTTGATTCGGACGTAAGTGTTCATACGTCTATGAAAGTCAATGTGGGGTTGTCTCAACCAGCTAACGAGAGGGTAAAACATCTTCTAGCAGACACTCTTTTCATTCGCCATTCTTATGGTTATTGTTGCTTCTGCAGGCATTGTAAGCATTAGGATTGGCTTCACCGCGTGCTTACATAGTTTCGTTTACGTTTGCAGTCATTTCCGTAGTGTTTGCCCTGTCGTGCTGCTTCTACTATTGCCCCAGCCCTCATAGTACCGGTGTGCCGTACAATCGTCCGTACTTGCTTGGCCGGCCGGTTAACGTGACATTAGAATGGACGTTTATAAATACCTTCCGATACTCCTGCCTATCTTGACTCGGTTTAGCCTGTTCCTTTTTTACTGCTACAACCGCGCAATACGCTACATGTACATATACATACGTATTATGTTATAACAAGAACAGTTAAACGAAGTGTTTGATTCCCATATGGTAGCGCGGCTGCGCAGCGAATCTAGCAACCAGAACGGGACGCTGTGTACGCGGATGCGATGGCCGCTCCGATTTTGACACTTCCACCGTTCTTAGGCTTCGTAAAGTATAGAGCATGTGGTAACTGACACGCGCGCCGTGGAAAAGCTGTGTGTGCCAACTACATAAGAGTTTCAAAAGGACGGCGGAACAACGAACGATTAAAGGGGCCAGAGCGTGATTTCGATTGAGTTTTGTTGGCAACTGGTTCTGTTGAATAGGATACAGATTTGTCCGCCTGACTGTCCACGTAGCATTAGTCAGCAACGACCCACGTTAGCAAACTTTGTTTCTTTACTTCTTCTCCACTTTCCTCTTTATAGCGAATAAGTTTGTATGTGTAGGAACTTGACCTTGGTTAGATTTGAAGAAGGATAGTTACCGTAGTTATTGGTGCGAACAGTCCAGAGACGAAACAGAATTTACGGCGCATTATTAAACGCGCACGGTATTGTCGCGCAGCGTAGAAGGTATGCGAGTATTCCTGTGTATTTCGTCTCTTGAACTAGTCAACCGTATTCGACCATTTCTCAACACGTATATACTCACACATTATTACAGAGAAACACTTGAACTTACTTTATGGAATACATGATGAAGTAACGTTTACAATAAATGTCGTATCTACTCGCGAGAAATAGTTGTTTTTTGACGGCTGCTTCGTCATTGCGCATTATTACCCTTTAGACCATCATTACTGAAGCAAATCTGCGGCCGATAGGTTTCCCGGAACCTTCCGGGCGTACCAGCGGCAGCATCATTAGTGCCCATAATTATAGAATTGTAATAATTTCTATACTAAACGCAACACCGTAGAGGCTCTATGTGCATGCGGAATCAAGTAAGTGTGGTACTCGAAAACGTTCAACTTCCCGGGCTGGGTCTTTCGTTCCGGGTTGAAACACACGAGCCGATGCAATAAATCCAAATTGTCCGAAGCAGCCGTGGTGCGCCCG